CTGTTTACTCAGAATCGTTTATTCAATGTAATGATTCTCTTGTTATATAAAATGTTTTGCAGTTCCCTCATTGATGCTTTCGACGACTTATTTGTATAACGGTTAATCGTTTCTCTTTCAACGTTGTTTACTCATCTGATTCTAGTGAAAATTCTTCGAGATTGTTCGAAATTTCTGCATTGATTGACAGTTTCCCTGACTAAGATCAATCATTTTTTTCTAGATTTGCCGGTCCAGTCTTCATGTCGATATTTCTAGTCGCTTTTTTCTTGGTACTGCAAATCGTTTTGGTGAGTACTGATCCTGCAGGCGCCTCCAAACGTAGTACTGAACTCTCGGACATCTCCACACGCAGCACCGAGCCTCACGAGGCGTCCAAAGGTAGCACCGATCCTCCAGACGACTCCAAAAGTAACATCGAGTTTCCAAACGTTTCTAACCATAATGCCGAGCCTCCAGACCTCTCCAAACGTGTACTATACGCTATTAATTGCGGTAAGTCTTTATGCAATCGTATTTCTTGACTGTTATACCTACGTTTCCTACATGTTTTAGGGATCTAACCAGTAAAGAAGTATTTTCATGATTTTTTCCATAAATCTCATTTCATCGTATAATATGAGATTATCTTATTTGATATATTCCAACAGTGAAATTTATGCATTTCCGAAAATATTAAACAGTAGAGTTTACTACTTTATGCTACGTAATGTCTTCGACTTCTTTTTCTTCTTGCATGTAAGTGACAGTTAGTAATGGCGAGCTCTTTCTGGTCCATCTTGAAGTTCAGCTGCTAGTTCCGATGCATCTTGTAATTTGCTTTCGGTGGTTGATTGACCTGAGAACATTCGATGTCCAGAGCTTCGATGAAAACCGTCGTCTCCGAACAATAATTCTCTTGTCTTCAACTAAGGAATGATGCCCATCGAAGTAAAAGTGGAAAAAGTGAGCCATTCGACTCCAGCTTTCTCTTCTTACTACTTGATTCCTAGATCATTCATTGAATTCTAAGAGGACAACTGAAACATTTTCTCACTCGAAGAGCACGTCAGGCTTGCCCACATTTTTGGAGCAACACCCTAAAACACCACAAAAGAATGGTTAGAGCAAGCGTATACCTTGCGCCTGAGGATGCGCTCAGGGATAGATGCAAATCTGAGGAAGAACAGACTTTTACCAAAAGTTTGCTAATACTTACTTCGCTATTTGGATGGTCGGTCTTCACTGTTGGTGATGGCTCCAGCATAAATTCCACTCGTTTCTGTGTTGCGCAATCATCGTCCATGGTGGTGGTTTGCTTCGAACATGGTGACGTCCGCCTGGACTGCGAATGCAGATGGAAACGATTTTAGGAATTCGGAACGGTTTTCGTGGACATCACCATGTTCGATTGTTTACCATTGTTGAAGCAGACCACCACCATGGACGATCATCGCTTCGGTGGTCTTCCAGGAGGATTCTTGCGTTCTCTTGGAGTCCACTCCACTGCTCCACTCTTCCATCTGTCACCTGTTCCCCTCCTTATGTGATCGGCTCATCTGTGTTTCACTAATGACGTATATCCTCTTGGATCCAGAAGATGGAATAGGTTCCGAAGATCAGAGCTTTGCGTCCCGGAAAGATATAGTGTGTGCCAGTTATATTTCAAAAGACAACGGCTGTGAATAGCGTATAGTATTCGTGACGTGGTTAAAGTATCAACCCACGTTTCTGCTGCATAGCAAAGAGCTGGGAGCATTGTTGAGTTGAAAATTTGAGCGCAGAGTTTTGCGTCTGTTAGTTGATCGCAGGCTTCTTTGAGAGGCCCGAATGCGGCCCATGGTGCTCTCCTTCTTCTGTCTAATTCATGTTTTTCCCCATGTTCATTGAATGTCTAACATACATGTACGTGGTGGTCTCTGTAATCAGAGTGGCGTCCATTTCGATTTGTTCGCCTTCGTAAACGTTATAATTCTAATCTGAAAATATTCTTTGGAACAAGGAAAACAAATGTATAGGAGATCTGTATTTTTACGACTCTCTAGATTTTTGCTTGTTTATTTACTTATTTTCACTTTGATTGTCTGTTTCATGTTTACAGTCTCCCTCAGCGGTATGTGTCCTAAGCAGGTTAGCTTCTAAACCACATGTCGAAAATGTAAATGCCGTTGCTCTGGGACGCAAGCTTATTGAGTGGATAGGTTTGCATTGGTTCCCTAACACTGCTGCGATCACGCCAGAGCGCAGGAACATGCTATGCTCGATTCAGGTGGAACCTCCGGCCAAGCGACCGGCAATTGTTTTCTGGCGAAATGGATGCAAGTTATCCATGAGCATCTATGCTGAGCTGTCACTGAACTATGAATTTTGATCGAAACCATTGCTATTAAAACTGAGGTTGAGACTATTACTATTAAACCTTGACATTAAACTTGTAAGACATTTGCTTTCCCACTCCTTTTTTAGGCAAGTGCTTTTCATTGTTTTCGTGTCTAATACTCCAATAAAGCTCTCATCCTTCCTTCCGGAAGTTTTCCTTTATTTCCACAGCTTTTTCCTTTAAACTTTTTGCTATTTTATGGGAATTCTATACCTTCGGTGACAAGCAGTTGCCGTTACAGACCTTCAATTTTGAATCATTGTAATTGGACTCAAGCATAACTTCGTGCATTAAATTATCAAGTTGAGAACAATTGAAATCCACAAATTTTCGCCAAAAAGGTAGAACTTTAGTCCTTACCACAATGATGCTGATATCTTTGCAAAACTGCGGACCGTAGGTGTCTGCGGTGGGGATGAGCCCGCTCTTACTCGGTGGTCCGGAGTTTTGCAAATATTTTAGCGTCATTGCGGTTACATTTCGCACCATAGCTTGCCATGAAGAAAGAATAGGCAGTGAATAAAACTTGACTACGTTGTGATTTATTCATTTCGTTAATACATAACGAACGAGCGTCGTTTAGCGTTTATTCCTACTCCTTGGCTCGGTACCCCATTTCAGCACTTACGGACTTGCTGAATTTCGACAAAAATGGCAATTTTTCGATAGCCAGAGGGCTTGAGGGGTTGTAGACATGGCAGAATTGTTGCAGACTTTGTTCTATTGCTCTATGAGTACTCATTGTTTGTTACTGTGGTCCATTATACAAGAACATTGCTACCGTCATTCAGAAGTGTTTTACAACTCACGCAGTTTCTGATTTTGGTATTTTATTTATATGGACCTATTCCATCGTATAACTACTGTTCATTATTGTCGTTGAATTAAAATAGGAGTCAATTTCCAGTAAAATTACCACTCAATGAACTCGTGCAAGAGAACGTCCTTGTATATTACTCAGTGAGAATGGAGCGTTTGCGGGCGGACGCCCGCCACAGCACGTGTTGGATCAGCTACCGATTATTTGCAAGAGGTGCAGGAAAAAGGGTCTCTGCGCAAAAATAAGCCAACAAAAAAGGGGTGACCGAAATGACGATCATACGGGCCGCTTGGGAGACCGCGTAAGATTGCATAGAATGTATATCTTGCATAATGCGTTAGCTTGTGCTGTTCTGTACACGACGAGCACTCCGAAGACATTGTTAACAACGTCTTCAGTTTGTAACTAGTTGTTGAGATGCTGAAAAAGGTAGGTAGTGGTTTGTTATCGGGAGGTCCGAAAAGTATGATAGCCGAGGCAGAGTATTGTGGTGGTACTTATTCGACTTCTGCACTGCTGCTTGTGCTGTGATTACGATCACAGTTGCTCCAATTACTGATGAATTGCACCCTTCTGTCATGATTTCCTAAGGTTCGAAAAGTTACAGTTGATGTAGTAACCATTCCATAAATAGTTTCTATTTCCTTTATTAGCTATGTTTGCTGCTAGTCAAATTTATCCGTCCCTTGTATATTTTTGTGTCTCTTTCATATAATGTAGAAGCCATTCCATCGCTTTCACATGAACTCTCTGTGTAAAAGCCATTGTATAGGCTTCACGAACTTTCTGCTCAAGTAGCTCTATCAGGTTGTACTACCTGAGAAACTTTATAGAATCCTCCTTTGGGTATTAACTCTACTTTTTCTGTAAAATCCCCGCCCATTAGCGTTCATTACAGAAGGAATATAAGGAGCATTATCAGTCATTTCAATTAGTCTCAACTGTTGCTCGTACACTCGCGCTCCACCTTCGACTTCGCGCTTGTACTTATTACCCATCGGGATATTTTTGCATCGTTAATACTGTGTTGCTATCATTTTTGTGCATGGCTATAACTCCAACTTGAGATTGCGCTTTGTGGGTACGTCGAAAATTCTCACGTTGTAGATTCGTAGAAAGTCGAGCATTCTACTTCAAGCTAATGATTATTCAGTGCCGAGGACTGATTCATAGAACTATATTCCCCTTGCCAATTAAGTAAAGCGGACTGTTCTATGTATGGATCGCCAGAATTCCCAATGTAACCTTCTGCCCTAAGTGAGACTTTAAAAAAAGCCTAGGAGTTCCATCTCATTCCAAACACTGTGCTAAGTGCCTTTGATTGCAGCGCGGGACCCAATTTTTATCGCACATCACAAGGCGGTCGAGAAGTCGTCGTTTCTGTTGCTCAGGGAATGACCTGAGCAGACTTGATAATGACGACCTCCAATCCCTTATTAGAATTTTTTAAATTAAGGATCTCTGAAACTCTTTATCATCAGAATAAATGAGCATGTGCCTTTGCAAAAATATTTTGATTCCAATGTATGTTACGTTAATTAATAATGTTATGTTTGAGCGTAGTTATGGCTCAAAGTTCACGGTCCCTCCTTGCATTGATTTGCACCAACCTATAAAAGGGTGCTACATTAGCCTAAGTGAATGTGATTACCGACTTATTCCAAAACATTTGAAAATGTCTTCTCCCACGGCTTTTTTCGGGCCTCATATTTTATGACATTAGGAAACATCTAAACTATTTAAAATTCTTATTTCTTATTATCCGCCTTTAAATCTTATATCCATGTGTGTTTTTCAACAAGTAGTTAGGTGGAAGCCGCCATGTCGGAGCGTACGGTATCGTGTACGAGGAAGACGACAGTACGTTTGGTGTTGCTTCGGACTTCGGCACGAGATATTTTTTTCCAAATGCACCATCCCAGGACAGAACACTCTACGAGGTATGGTATCATTTATAATAAATAAAGCATAAAGGACAAAGCTCTCGGTGTTGATTAATTCCTGAGGAATGCGCCATGCATTTCTCACTAAGCATCGTTTGGAGGTGAATGAATGCATATCTGGCCCACACAGAGACTCGTGGTGGCCTACCGATGTATCGAGCCAGAGCTGATATCTTCCCAGACAAGTCTGGTACCCATTTGCTGACCCCGGAGGGATGGAAAGTTTGCTGGACCATAGGCGCGCGTATTGATTCCACGTGTGTGTTGCAGGGCGCCTCCGACCACTGCACCGCGCGTCCCGTTTGTAATAATATAAGACTTTTCATATCTTTGAAGAATTCCCTTGTTTTGGTGAGTTACCATGGTGTTACGAAGGTTAGTGCATGACATGATACAAACCATTGGTCGACAAGCCTTTTGAAGGTTTCTCAGTTCTGAAATTTCTTCTACTCATTGCAGTTTACGTAGCCTTTAAGTCTTTTCTCATTAAGCTGATAAAATTCATTGGATTCCGCTATCTCTACCGTGCCTACCACGGTATACACTGATATTTTCCATAACTTAAAAGTCTTCAAACATGGTTTTTAAACGGTGAGCTTCGTTTGTGATTAGACTTTGTATTGAACTTCAAGAAAACATACCTGCCAGAAAAGCCTATTAGAGGTTTCGAAGAACACATCGGTTTAGTTTTTCGGATATCTTCGTCAACTCGCCGAGTTTCTATCGCATTCATCTTTCGTCATCCATCTTTGTGCAATAAGATTGGTTTATCGTTGTAGATAGGTGTTGTTAGGTTCGTCATTGCCAGACATTCTTTACCTGGCAACAAGAAGTTGAAACTTAGTAGGTCGGATTAGAATTGACATCTTCAGAAAGCCTCATACGAAGGATCTATGGATCTTAAGCGTGGCCTCGCTCTTTACGATATCAACAAAGATTGCCCTATAAACATCTTGCTAGTCGAAGAGATAAGCGTAGTTTTCTATTAGGTAACGTATTTTGACTAAACACATAAAGGATGGAACAGATGGACTTTTCAAGAAAGTTCTTAGGGATATGCCACCACATTTGTAGCTTGTTTACAGTTTGACAGTGCTTTTTGTGAAAATTTGGTCTAGTGTGGCTTTTGCGATATTCAAACTGTTGTTTAAGCAGCCCTCCAACGGTTTACCCCTCGTCGTGCCTGGGAGGTGTTCCTGGGCGTCGGACTGCGATGCACATGCGACGAGGTGGATTTATCTCTCCGGCCCGGTTTTCCAGGCTAAGAAGGAGTCCTGCGTTTCCACCAGGAAGCCTAATTAAGAGTAAACCAATACCATGATCCACCACCGTCCTGGTGTCAAACTAGTTGCATGGTGGCAAATCTCCCTATGTTCCACAAGGGCGACAACTACCCGTAGTGGTGACGACCTGGGGCAGATTTTGGCCAGGGCTACTTGGGGATTCATGAACGAAAGTTTGTGTCTGCAAATATGAGGATTGCTGCAAGTAGGACGTGTGTAGCAAACTGGTTAGAGGTGCAGTGCAATAAAAATCTGGTCAGTGGCTCAATCCTGCGCCTCGGGCTCGTCAACTCGTCCATCTCTCTATGGTTGGTAGACTGGTACCAAATTTTGCGGGTGTATAAAATCATTGGCTTGATACACTGATAGGCCCACCTTGTATAGGGGACAACTATGCATTCAACTATCTCGACGATGCACTTATCAGGATCGTAGTATCAGAATCAAAAAAATCGAGCATATAATGTGAAGTAAACTAAGAGGGTATGTACGTTACAATCGTAGAGAAATCGACGACTTTGTATAAATGCGTCATGCAAAAACTGGAATTGGAGAACGTGGGATGGAAGTCGATGACTGATAGATTCATTATTTCCGCTTTGCTGATGATACCGTTCGTCTAACGTGATACATTACTGTAAAGGAAAGAGTGCTCGCTGATTTCGATGCTGACTGGTGCTCCATTTTAGCTTATTGGAACAAATGTCCTCAAACGTATCGATCGCATTCAGTGTTAAGAAGTCGTAAGATTTGTCTTTTGAGCGAAACGTCAGAATATCAGCAACCTGGTTAACTTGTAGGGACATCGAAGATATACCAGAAACGAAAAAAAGCACTTGGTACTGCTCCTACCTTTCGATTGCAGCGTCCTCCACTTCTTAACGATTGAGTCGTTGACTAGAATGATACTTAAATAAGAGAAAAGATCAGTCACCATTGTCGAACGAACGTTGTTGAGAGCGTAATCCAGATGGTATTCCATGTCACTCGATTCTAAGAGGTGATTATAAGTCCTGACCTAGTCGATGGTCTTAAGAACAACACCCTGCGAGAAGATTCTATAGGGAAAAAGCAATGTTCTTCGTGTATTTTTCGTGAAGACGACGCGCTTAGCAACTCTAGTACTGGCTATGGACGAATGAAGAGCTTTCATGCACGATTGGGTCATTTGACAACGAAGGGCAGAATGGTGAGGTGAAACGGGGTGGAATGAAAACACGAGGGTTTTTTCCCAAACAATTGATGCGACCATTTTTCTAATGCAAAAATCAGTTCCTTGAATAACCAAGGTGTATAACTATTTGGCTATTTGAATTGTTTCTTAATTCTTTTCTCTTCCTTCGTTCATGGTTTTTTTTTCTTGAAATCAATGTCAGCCATCCTCATATTTAATAACAGTCGGCTATTTTAGTAACAAATCGCTTTCGTGTTTGAAGGAAAAACTTCCTGTAGGTATTTTTGAGGAAACGGTCATTTTCATATCTTATCCCTCTTTCTTTTCAATTCGAGTTTTTCAACAAATCTGTTTTCCCCAGACCGAACGTTACGATTTCGGTGATCTCGTCTATAGATTCACAATCGAAAATGACGGCTCTTACGTTGTTATCTTGAAGTTTTCCGAAGTCTACTTCGAATCGCCAGGACTGAAGGTGAGAACAACCATTTTGTATCCAAATCATTGTCAAAGTCCGAAATTCCAAAAAAAATCCAAAATGCCACTTTTCATGAATAATTTGATATCCTTCCCGGTTCTTTGGTTCTGGTATTTCTGCGTGTCAGACTGCGATGTAGAGCGGGCGTATTCATGGGCCAGTCCGGCGTTTTCATCAAGAAGCCCAACTAAGAGTAAATCAATGTCAGGATCCACCACTGTCCTGGTATCATACCAGTCGCATGGTGGCAATTCTGCTTCTGATCCACAAGGGCGGCGACTGCCTGTGGTAGTGACGACCTGGGGCAGATTTTGGCTAGGCTGACCTGAGGACTCCAGGGAGCCACAATGGCCAAGCCAGCAAAACTCCGAAAAAATGGAAATTATACTGGGGTCCGCAAAGGCAGTGAGGACGGGCTATACAAATACCCAAGTAAGTTTTCAATTTGATATCACAGTACTCACTTTTTATTTCCTGCCTAATATTGTTTCCTACTGCAGATGTGAAATTCAACTATTATGATGCTGATATATTTGCAAAATCTCGACTCCAGGCCAGTTGCTAACCCAGAATTTTCTTTTCCGGAGGCTCACATGTTACCCATTTCACCACTGATACCCTTTCTTTGCCTTTCTCTGCCCGGGAAAGGTAATCGCGGGCTCGAATCGGGTTTCACAGTGATGTTCACCACTCAGATTACGTCATATCGTGGCTTTTGGTGCACTCCTGGATGTCAAGTTGCGATGTGAAGTGAAGTGAAGTTGTTCTCCTAGCGAAGTCACCCAGGTATAAAACGAACTCGGTATTTCAATCTAGAGACCAACATCCAATTGTGGAAACGCTAGAAATAATCGCATGGAAGAAAACTCGTTACAAGATGACAAACTTCTTTCCGATAAGAGGGTCGATATCTGCGGATGGTGACGATCTGAGAGCGTTACGAGCAAACATCAATCAAAAAATTTTGGGAAATCTGAAACATTCCAGAGAAATGAAAATTGGGTCATCGGGTTTTTTAGTAAAGGTGGATCGTTCAGAAACTAGGTTTCAAGTATTTATTAACAACACTACCGTGCAAATGGAATAACGAGCGAAAAAAGGCTTTATTTTTGGAAGTCGATTTCCACTTAACCTCCAGAGCAATAATCAGTATTGTTTGTATCCATGAACTTATAAGTAGTTGTTGGCATACCTGTATTGTGCTCGACACTCCGATGCTTTCTCCCTCCTCGAAGCCGTGATCGTCCGAATAGTTTTTCTGCAGCTATCCGCTCCTCTGATATGGGTCTTCGTTGTCCCATGATGCCGTATCCAGTGAAGTGGAACGTGGCAGGAATAAAGCGATTGTTTGCTGAATGTCTATTGATAGTAATTTGTTTTTATGAAACCAGTCCTTCAGTACTCGGTGTATGTGAATTGGTGCATACCGAAGTAATAATTTTGAAATCGACTTTAGTTTAGCTGTCGTTTGAATTACTAATTTTCTCGCATTTATTGCCGCGTGGGGATACTTCATTCGTCTGTTGCCCTACTCCGGACTCGACTCGATGCAAAAACGGAGATCCACATCTTGAAAACGACCTTCATGGACATTCGATTCCAATCATTCTGGTTCCGAAGAAGGCGGAAACCTGCTGCCATGAAGAAATAGAATCCGTCGAAACGTGAGCATGATGAAGATTTACTAATATTCTTGCGTAGATTCATCAATATAGCAGGAAAAAGTTCTTTTAGCTTTGAAGTATAACAAATGTCAACCCATATCACAACGCGTATGGATGATCGGCTCGTCTAGAGGATGCAACAACAGAGTTAAATCTTTTCTTCCTGGTCGACGCACCGGTAACAACAATATCAGAAGGCGGGAATACAGGCAGGAGCTCCAGTGAGATTAGTGGACTATAACCTTTTATGAACTTCCTTCAACCTGTAAATATTTGCATATATATGAAAGTGATTAGTATCATCAAGCAGCAATGAACGAGGAACAGTTGGCCATTATTAACCTAGCTAAGAATTTAAAACTGACCATCTACTTGATGATGCAGAAAGCCATCTACTGAAGATGCCTCGCCAGATATCGAATTGATGAATGAAGCTATACTCTTTGCTAGTTCTACTTCCCTATTTCCACTTGAAAATTCGTCCCACTTTCTCTTCTGATCACTGCAACTCAGTTCACTACGCGAACCAGTGTCTATCCCAAAAAGCAAATTAATGAACTTACTTACTTGAATATTTGAATGGCCCGTCCTCACCTGTTGTGCGGATCCTAGCACAATCTCCATTTTTCGGAGATTTGCTGGTTAAGCCATTGTAGTTCCTTGGAATCCCGAGGTCAGCCTTGCCAGGGTCTGCCTCGGATCTTCACCACCACAGGCAGCCGCAGCCCTTGAGCCACCATGCGACTATTTTATCAGGACGGTGGTGGATCCTGATATTGGTTTATTCCCAGCTAGGCTTCCTGATGGAAGCTCCGCACTCCCTTTCAGATTGGGAGACCTTGCCAGCGAGACGAGTCTCTTCGTTATATATCGCAGTCCGCCGCCCAAGATTTAATGAACACGGAATTTTTTGGTACTTTTTAAGTTTGGTATCCACATGATTCCTGTTGTTCTCAAACAACACGGTGAAGACGTTTTTGCAATTTTCTGCTTTTTGAATTGAATGGACTCTCGATCAAATGTTGCTGGCTTTCTTTGAAGGTGTTCGACGTCCACTTGAACAACATTCTTGTGAAGGACAAATTCGACATCTTTTTCGAAACGAATGCTGCTGGTTTGGCCTTCGATATGTGAGTTGCTGGATATGAATGGCTTCCTCCAAGTTCCTATCACTGAACAAACTATCTCCCTCACCATAATGTTAATGCATGCATTGGCTTGCAGTCATTTTATTTTCCACCTATTTTTTCTGCTTTCTGTTTCCTATATGTCAATCGTTGGCACATTAACCACAGTCGACCGATCATATCGTATTGATGAAAACTATTCTCAGTCGCTATGAGGTGCTCGCTTTATCAAGTTCCACGAAAATATAACCTGGATTTTTAGGAGACGATAGAACTTCTCGCATACTTTGTCCCTCGTGGTGATCGTCGTTTGTCTGTTTTAAAATCATTTCTTGGACTGTTTATAATGATGGGTGATGAAAAAGACGAAAAAAAGCATGCCGAGAGTGGCGTGACAACAAAGGCGAATGGAACTGTGAACTTCACAGCTGTCCAGTCAAGCTAACCGGAATTGTTTGCATGGCTAGTGCATGTGAACTGAACCACTACAATGGACTCTAGGACCATCCACTGTGAACCATATCCATTGCAACGGGAACATACAGCCGAGTCGCCAACATCGGCAGCACACAGAGATTCAGTGGTCGAGCTGTTCTCATCAAATCCTGCAGACGCTAGGTGCGCCGCTTGAACGTTAGAACACACTATGTTAATTTAGGTCAGATGACGACACCCATTGCTAAAGTTCTTGACCATATGGTATGTGTAGGTGTGCTAACATGAGTTCTAAGATTGGTGCTGCTAAGTTTCAACGTTAATAGAGAACTACCTGTAGATTTCATTGTGATCGTTGTTATACTCTAAAAATGGAAGTTTCTGTTTAGAGAGAAGGTTTGAATATGAGTTGAAATTATTTGTGAAGAGCACTGGATAGCAAGTGTATAAATAACTATCGATCTTGTAGACAATATTCGAATCAAAGCGCGCGGCTACCAGGTGTGCACATTGAACGGTCGTTCTTTCCGTCATGATGTGTTTTAAGCTCTTCCCATCCCATTTTTCTTACTTTGATCTCATTAATGAGGCGCTACGTCGGCGTACTACAAGTGAATCTGGATTTACGAAACACTTATGAAAACACTGCCAGCTGTTCTCTCTTTGTTCTTCGGAAGCCTTTTGCGATGGCCACCTCATACAAAGGAGTGTTCTGTTGAAGTCCAGTGATCACCAAATATATGCCAAGAAACTAATCCAAGAACTTATATATTTAGTAATACAGTCTCCTAAGGCTGAGAATTCGGAATATGACGTAGAAATGCCATCCACGGTATTGTGCCTACGTCGTATCGTCGTTCCACCACATCAGCTACATAGAACTGATTTTTTTGACATATCGACTTCACGTTTACCGTGGGGATCCCAGCACTTCTGGCATTCGATTCGTTTCCTCGCATTCCCTGTCCACGAAGATCTTTCAACTTTTACGTGTGATTTCGGTTGCTGCTTGAAGATTTTCATTTCATCTTGAATGTCGTAGAATGCTGGCCAAGCCCTGAGATATCCGCGATGGAGTGTTACCAATTGGATTGCAGAGAGTGATTTTTTTCCCAGACAAGTCTGGTGCCAGTTTCCCCACTCTGGAGGGATGAGAGGCTTGGTTGGCCTGGTGCGGAATCGGACTAATATCATGTTCTTGATGACGGACACCACTACCACTGTGCTATCCGCCCCCTGATTAGTATAATACCAAACAATAAACAATGACGTTCATCACAAACAGTAAAAATGGTGAAATGAAGATAAAGATGGGTGAGAAGGATGAAGTGAAACAAAGGAAGGCTGAGGTCATTTAGAGATTGTTCGTACGCACCCGAAGACAACTACACCTTCAAACGGGCATGTCTCAGCTCATAGTGAACTTTATCGATTGAAATAAAAGCCATCAGAATCTAGACACAAGGCTTTTAATTCAGTCGCCATAAAATCGGATTTGTAACAAAAGTTTTAATTCTAAATAAAACTAAAACATCACGTCGTTGCAAGTTTTTGGTTTTTTTTAGAGTAGTACAGAAACGGCAATCCACAATCATATCAAGTTTGCGCATCGTGGATTTCTCTAGTTATCGGAAATTATCGAGAGTTATTAGGAAACAGGCATCGTTTCACACGTAGGCCATACAAAGTTCAATTCTGCACCAGTGGTCCATTCTTTTCATTTGGCAGATGGGACAGTTTTCGTAGTTATCGTATGGGATAGGTGGATATAAGGAATAAAAGATAAAGGACAAAGTTCTCGGCCTTGATCAATCCTGGAGGGATGCGCTGTGCTTCGACTTCATTAAGCATCGCTTGGAGGTGATTGAATGCATATCTGGCCTTTACAATGACTCTCAGTGGCATACCGATGTATCGAGGCAGTGCTGCTATCCTCCCAGACAAGTCTGGTACCAATCTGCCGACCCCGGAGGGATGGAAGGCTTGGTGGGCATGGGCGCTGGAATTGATTCATGCGTGTTGCAGGGCGCCACCGACCACTACGCCACGCGCCCTTATAACACACAAATTTATGAGTACTAGTTAATCAAGCAGACCAAACGCTGTTTCTACTCTTTTCAAATTTTTTTCATAATGATTCAATTCTAGTGTGTCTTTTGTCAGTCCTCCATTACTATTTTTTACTCGACATAAAAACAAGTAAACTTGATTACAAACAAAGAGATACTGACCTTCCCAACGGATCGACACAGTTGATATTCAAGCAGTCCTTGATGACGAGTAACTTCTTAACGCTGCCGATATCGCCGCGTTCACAGGAGAGCAAAAACTGCTTTTCACGAAAGCGGCTGTCATCTAAGTGCAGTGATTTTGTAGATAAACAGAGATGTCCATCGGATCGAAAGTTTGTGCATGCGAATAGAAAGAGTGACTCTGCCTAGTGGAAATAATCGCATGCCCTTCTGACGCAGGTCCACGGCGTTCCCACGTTCAGGAGAAATTGAGAGCAGGACCACGTTTTTGGGTGATAACTTCAACTGCTCTTTAGTCTCAAGTTTTTTTGAAACCTGACTTCGCGTATTCAGATAATTCTTTCTTCTGCTTAGCCAACTTATGATAGCATTCACAGACGTGTTTTTAACTCAGTCCTTAACAGCTGTTCGCTAAAGAAACAACGGAGAGCATTATTCCTCAGTGCTCGATTGTGTTGCGGCCTCGGCTAAGAAAGTTTTCGATATCTTTTTTCAGGCCGCTCAGCAAACAAGCCATTTTGTTAGGTTTTCATTAGATCAAATCAAAGCGCTCATTTGTTCAATTAAATCCCTCTCGATCCCTCCATTCACTGGTTTTCTTAACATTCTCATAAAACACTAGCATTAACATCCAGTGGCGTTCATGATGGGTTCCAGTGACGGATACCACCATCCTTAAATTCGTAGGGATATAGCAGAGACTATTAGATGTATGACTAACTCGTTTACAACCACCGCAACAGATTAGAAATGCCTTTAGAATAATTATTCCTCCTAGAGAGTGGCCATAGCTATAGTTCTCTGCAAATGCTAGCCGTAGGCGTCAAGATTTTCAAATTAGTGAAAATCAAGACAGAAGATCAAGAGCTACCCATGAAACATGCTCAACGACCCTTAGAAGATATAAAACTTGTTTGAAAATGAATTTCTCTGACTGAAGGAGTAGGTAGGCGAAGACATCTCCTCATTAGTTCCAAGAACGTAATGCTTTATGACGCTCACTCTTCTATTGCTCGCTTTCCATTCTGCATTTTAGAAGCAGTAGAAATAATAATTTCTCAAGCGGTGGTTTTATGATTCGCAAAATCACTCTGGATCTGTTTCAATCCACACTTCCTATCCTCGAATTTCTCGGCAAAGCCGTGGGATCGACAGATGTGATGCCACACTGGTTATTGCCAATTGCTTGAATTGCTTCTTGTGTTTGAAAGTGAACGGCGAACTAAAGCTATCTTCCGATAAAGTGGCTCTTGTTGTTCGTCAAATCGTAGGACAAGTTTAGTGCAAAATGCACTACTCATTCTCAGAATAACGTATGTGTTGTTTTACAGCGAACTTTTCGTCCTCAGGTGTAACCTTTCATTTGTTGCCTACTATAATTTTAACATTGTGGTTTCAACTACAGCCTCGACTTCGTTGGTTTGGTTCAATGCCGAATTGTGCCCACCAGATATTTCCCATTGATCAGTGATTGCTGATAACACCTCTAGAGTCTCCTGGATATAAAGAGCGCAGTGAATTAAATATTAGTGAAATCGCTTTAGATTCAGACAGTAGTGTATTTGGCAAGTGATCTATAGTAAGACAACGTAGCGTATAGCAGAAATACTACATCTTTGTATGGATGATACAACGCTTCTCCTATAATTCCATGATATTCTTGACCTCATAGGCCCTCTAATGATCGGAAATTTTTGGTTTATTTTCAAAAAAGCAAGCATTGCGCTGTTTCGCGGACGAGTTCCACCGTTTCTCAAAATCTGTGTGATTTTTATCTGTTCTCCATCGAAATCATTGGCATTTCCAAGACAAGCATTGGGATGAAGAAATCTGTTTTGATGCGTCAAAACTCCGAAGAGAATCGAAAAGCCCTCAATTATTGCCGGTCGAAGTTTTACGTAATTTTTCCCCTCGTCCAACTTACGGGCACACTGTAACGCTTCGGAAGTCTTATTAGGCGCTAGTTGCTACTCTTTAGGTATATCGATTTCTCGATTAAGGACAAACAACTGAAGATCGGCGACGTAGCCGGGTACATCGACCGTGAATTACAAATACGACTTACACCGGTGAGATTTGCTGATGCCTTTTCGCATGGTATATTATTGCTTAACTCATTTTTCAGGTGGTCGATAATCCGAAAATTAATGCGATAGCGGTTCTGTCAGGCACGTCAGAAACACTTCCGCCACCACCAGGGCTTTCTCCATCGCAATCCAGAGTGAGTTGAAGAGAACAGATTCTAAAATATCGGATGTATAGAATTCGAACTCTTAAATTACTCCTAAAATTTGGAACTTGGGACGGAATTGCTCAAGGTTTTTTCATAGTTTGAATAACGAATTGGAAACCTGGACTTCAGGAGAAATAAGGTGTGAAGGCCACTATACTAATTTGAAGCCCATAAACGAGAAAGGGATGAAAAATAGGGAATAATTACTATTAATAATGGAATATAATTCTATGTATGCCGTTATACGGTAGAAAACAGTGACGGTGTGTGACGAGGAGTTGGTAAAAGCAAACCAGACAGAATACTAGTGAACAAGATTTTTCAAGCAGCCATAGGTTTACATCAGTATATACTACAAGGCCGACATCATGCTGTCTGGTGTCGAATGTTCCAGCAATCGTAGCGCGTGAGACCGTAACCTTAAGTCAATCACCGTGTAAATGTTTCTAGATATACTTCAAGTAGTTGAAAATATTCACAGGAAAATTGAACAATAGGATGATAACCATTTTCTGGAAGCTTTCTTTAGAAGTGTTTATTGTATTGGTAGGTCGATTGTAGTCCGCTTTGTCAACTCTTACAAAGTCATGTCATCGTTTTCACGCATGCATTGACTGCCCTTATCTGGTCAAAGAATCGTCAAATATACTTCATTGAAATTTGTTTATATGGGAGTTATTGGAACAATCACCATTGTATCACCTGTCGTCCCGTTGATCGTCGAGTGACTTGGGGGGGCGCCAGCAAACCTTCCATTTCTCGCTATCACGTGCAAGAGTCATGCAGTAGGTTCTGCTTCCTCTAGAGACTCGTTGAAAATCACGTTTTTTTTCCAAGGCTTTCGTGATAGACTCACCGTCATCTTTCTGTTATGCGTTTGACATCACGAAAAATCCAGTCACTAACGACTCTTATCCATCAGTTGTCGTTCGTATCCATTAAGCTCTCCAAGCCGTTCGCTTTCTTCTACTCGGCTTTGGAATAAAGTCGTTCATCATGTTTATTTCCCGAAATGTACAAACGTGTTAGCATTCGAAGATATTAACTTTTTGAGCGTGAATAGGATATACGGAACAAATCCGTTCTTCATCATTATCCTTTCTGCAAGATTTATTCTAAGGTGATGTTTCCAGAAGCGTTATCAAAGTCAAGCAAGCATTCTTTCCCTCCGGGTAATGCTTAGTGGTATAAGAACTACGTCTCGGCCAAGCAAGGCGGTGTAATTGCCGACCATCGATTTTCACTCCCATGATCTCTCCTTCCTGTGTTCCCACAACGTTCTCGAAGGTGGCGGTAAAAAATTTTGGCGAGATGGTATCGTCTTGGCTAACCGCTCTTTTGGCGGCGACGTTGATATCCTTGTAGAATAGTGATATTTTGGTTGTGAAATTTTTATATAGCTCATGAACAATTTTAATATACTAAGTAGGGACTCCCTGACTATCAAGGACTTCCATGACAGCTTCTATCTCAGTTGAGTGTGAAAGGCCTTCTTCAAATCGATGAAACTGAGACAGGGCAGTCTATTGTACTCTCGGAATACTTCAATATGTTTTTTTTTATTGTGTGGATGTGGTCCATCCTACCGAATCTTTTTGAGATGACTCGAGTGAGAAGTTTGTAGACGACCAACAATAAACATTGGGCGAGAGTTGCCGATATCGTGGAGGTCACCTTTCTTGAACAATAGTAGGGTCCTGCTGGTCTTCCACTGAGTAGAGACTGTGCATTCAGACAGGTAACGTGTGAAGAGCCGAGTCAGTGTGTTTATGAGGACTTATGGAAGGTTCTTTAGGTGTTCAGATCCTACCCTGTCCGGACCTGGTGCTGTTCGATTTTTCACCGCCGAAGTAGCATGAGCATGTCGGATTTAGGAAGGGAGAACCGGTGGTACGACGTATCCATCCTCGTTTATTTTATATGAGGACGGAAGGACGTGGCTATTATAGAGATCTCAGTATAATCGTAAATGAATCGCTTTGTGCTAGCTGATAATAGCACCGACTTCTGCACGATGTGCACGATGATTATGTCCGGAGGAAAAACAAGTTGTTATCACCGGACATTATCATTATATCCACCATCAGCATCGTGTATAAAAGGCCATCACTGAGTAAGGATGCCGCATTCGAGGAGATGGCTCACTGAAGAAGACCTGACTCGACACGAAGGCGAAGCTGCCACGTCAAGACGAATAGCAGGGTAGGACTATCGGATCATCGGCTCTGAAGAAGACGAAGACGTCGAAACGTTTGCCGAAAATAAACATCATTATCAACCTCGTGTGAGCTCATCAAAGAAAGAATACATATTGTAAATGAATCTCTCCATTACCTTTCTGGAAGTAACTGCCACGACCGACTTTCTATTAACCTCGGCATTGATCAAGTAATTTTCTTCCTATTTTTGTTGAGCAAATGCGAGGTGTTATTATTCTTTGTTCACGATTAAGCTGACGTTTCGGCGGATTTCGCCTTCCTCAGAGCCGCTTTCTATGAGGTTTCCACTAAGTATGTCAACGAATAATAACACCTCGCGTTTGCTCAACAAAAATGCGAAGAAAATTACTTTCTGGAAGTTGCAACTGTTTCGTCTGGTCATCGAAGTGCAATCATTTTGGCTATGTAATTAACGAAAGGTCGGTGGGCTTTGCGAATGCTTTTTTCAGCCTGTCCAGCTTGGACTATAACTATTGCTTCTTTCTCGTTTAGATCTTCTTTCATCGCCTTTCTGCATTTTCTTTTTTGCAAATTCGGCCGATAACCTGTGGTTCCTGCGATTCCACGTTGACGTATCAGTTCTAAATTTTCTGAAGAAAGACGTCTGTTGTTAGCTTTCGAGCTTTTAGCTTTTGTAGCAGTAATGGGATGATGTTGAATAAGCTGGTCGTATTCCTCGTCGATAGTGTCAGTAATGGTGTCTTCACAAGAGCCGACTATCTAAATCTGCATAGATCATAGTTTATGGTGGTTTTGGAAATTCGTTTCTTGAGGTTAGCGGGTTTCTTTCGTTCCTATGAAAAGTGGAATCTTGCATGAAAGAGGAGATGATCGGATCTCATGGAGAACTTTGCGACAATAGCGATATCTGTTGGGCAAAATCTTCGATTTACTATGTTGTGGCCTATCTCGTTATGGACGGTCAACGTTTAGAGCGGGACTTCTGAAATTGCTAGTTACCATAGTCATGGTCATCGTGGTAAGCTCAAACAGCTACTTTGCTCACTTTGTTCGGTCTTTGGTCCCAATGTGACGTTTTTCGGCAAGCAATCTTGTCGATAAAATTTCCACGATAGTCTTAAATAATGTATGGTCGTTTCTGCAGAACTTCTCCAAGTCCATATAGAACGCTTTAACTTCTCATCTTCATCATAGCTTGACGTCGGTGCGCAGACAAAGAAAACACTCGAAGCCAGCATCGATTCACATCATCTCTTCAACCGTAAACGTCCAGTACGGATTATTAGTTTTTCAAGTAAATCGTTGTATCCCGCCAAACTCGTGCTGACGAGAACGCCGACGCCGTCGACTCCTCTACTGTCGCATGTTGTGAGGAACAGCTTTTCTCCGGTATCGTAGACGGCGTTGAATGGGTAGCCTCTTCTCGTTTCAGTCATTACCTCGTGGCTAATTGGCACGAAATTTCTCTAAGGAAAAATTCGTGATTCGAGGGAGATCCATAGTATAAGAGGAATCAGGGGCATTCAACAGAAGCAGCAAAATCCTGAGAGCAATGTGTTTAGCAAGTGATGTATAATAAAATTTACCACTGCATTGCCCTCCAATTGGAATACAATGTGCACATGAAAATGTTGCAGTTGGCCGGTGATTATGCGCATTTCAGCGTCATTCACGCCGTCCTTCCGATGATGACTATGACGACCTGATCTACGACACTGACTACGATCATCAAACTTTCAGTGGTCTCAGTTCAGAGCATGAATTCGCGAGTGGACCACCAACTCCAAACCCTTTCGAAGTGAAGGTAAGTGGTTCCAATGGTCTCCACTCCGACTTGTATAGACGTGAAACAGTGCTGTGAAAAAACTGCGCATGCTATAAACAAGTGAATAATTGCAGGCCAAAGGATAATTGTCTCAAGTTTCATCATTCATTCGTTCAAAAGAATAATATCAGTCACTAAGTCACAGACTTTCTCGATTTATAGTTGTGCTAATCGCTTATATTTTGCTTCAATATCGGTTTTATTTTGGAGGCGATTGTTGCGCAGTGGTTAGAGGTATCTTGCAGCAGACATGTGGTTGCTGATTCGATCTAGTGCCCTGTCCTAACCAAACCCTCCATCCTTCCAGGATCAGAAAATTGGTACCAGAGTTGTTTGGGAGGATGGCAGTACTGACTTTACATATCGATATTCCATCGGAAGTCGTTGTATGTATAGGCCATGTATGCATTCGATCACCTCGAACGATGCCGATGAAGTGGAATGCATAGCGTAATCCCTCAGGGATTGATCAACGCAGACGTCTTTTTCCTTATCCTTCATTAATGCTATTGGCTGAGAAATCTAAATGTTGCACTACTTATAACTCTTCAACATAACAACTTCGCAACAGGTAAGGTTTCACCAATCACATATTTGTGCGGTTTTTGTAGCACTTCCTATATCTGAAATACAGGTAGCTCTTCCAGCCGGATTTACTAAGTGAAAGGTCGGTGGTGATGGCTGTGGATGTGATAAATGCCAGATTTGATTAGAATGGAAGTTTTCCACAGAGAAGTCAGTCAAATAAATAATGCAAGCACTTTCAGTAGAGGTTCTTCTCAATGTGTCAACATTATCAAATTTGTTAGATCTGTGCCGTGAAAATTTCTAAGATCAGGATCGGTTACACTCTTTTTGGAAAAAGATAGTACAAATCCCTTCAGGTTTAAGCTAGTGTAACAAGCCCTAGAGAGATTAATGTACGTTCCAGTTGTTTTGATGTTGTTAACAGAAGCTAGTAGACACTTCCAGTAGTCAGATGATTGTACAGTGTAAATGTTCTGAAAGACATAATATACGGCAGTCAACTCAAGCACTGACATTTAGCTGGTATTGTTCAGTGGTATGGAGTCTGAACTTATTGTCTACTGTAAACATTTTCAGATTTCCGCCTTAGGTCATGTAGGTGAAGAACGAAGTTGTTGTCAAGTATTTGGTGTCGTTCACTGTCCATTGTTTCACTGTTAACCTTGGACCGTTGTATAGTGCACTGACAACCACTTATTTTCAGATTGCTTTTTGAACCAAAGCTTTTTTAAGAGAATTTCACACTATCACTCTAATCTAAATGAAGTTATTGCGTTGTCGCTATGGAGGAAGTACGTTGTGGTGGTTTTTGTTCATTCGAGTAGGATTCCAGGAGGTGAAACAATGCGGTGTCAGCAATGGATCTGCGGGCGTCTTAAAAATCATATTATGTGGCGGAGATCCTGTATGTGGAAAGCCCATAATGTGAACGTAAGCAAATTGAACTGGATGGCTGTCTGACAACAGAGACGACCTCATACTTATTCCTTAGGTCTTCAATGAACATGGAGAACAACACAAAGAAGGAATTAGGAAAAAAGAAGAGCAGCATGGCTTGGGTTTAGGCCTCTCAGGCTATTGACGAGCTAACGGACCACAAACTCCACGTTTATCTCTTCTATCTAACACGCTTTTCATTGTGTTAACTTTTTACTTATTGCCTACTACAATTTTTTACGGCAGGATATTACTTGATACTTGATACTTGAACTGCCCGTCCTCATTGCTTGTGAGGGCCCCAGCATAATCAAGATTTTTAGGAGATTTGCTGGTTAAGCCATTATGGATTATGGATACCTGGAAATCCGAAGTCAGCCTGGCGAAAGTCTCCCTCAGGTCTTCACCACCACTGGCAGTCGCAGCCCTTGTGGATCAGAGGGAGATTTGCCACCATGCGACTTTGATACCAGCACAGTGGTGGATCCTGGTATTTGTTTACTCTTAGCTAGGCTTTTTGATGGAAACGTCGGACTCCTTCTCAGCTTGGGAGATTCTACCGGAGAGACGATTTCCCCGCCGTACATCGCAGTTCGACACCCAGGAAACCTCGCAGCCACGATGAATCCGTAAACCGTTGAGAGGCGGCGGGATATTAAGTGAAATTAGGTTTTTGAAGTTTTGAATTGAGTTGAGATGATTTTCTTCGTATTTTTGTTGAGCAAACGCGAGGTGTTACTATTCTTTGTTCACGATTAAGCTGACGTTTCGGCGGATTTCGCCTTCTTCAGAGCTTCAGAGGTCAAGTTGATAGCAATCCACTCGGCCAGACGCCTCCATAACCAAACAAGGAAACTCCAAACCAAGATTTCAATCACT